CACGGCGCGGGGAGCGCGGCGTGAAAGGCCGGAGTCGTGAGGCGGCGCCGTGAGTCAGCGCCGCAAAGGCCGAGATCGTGGCCGCGGAGGCGGGGGCGGCCCGCCGGGCTCCCTGCCCTTCTTCCGGGGAGCGGGGGAAGGGGGGGAGGCCCGTCGTGCCTGGCCTGGCGCCGAGTTCAACCATTTTTATTTTTTTTTTCTCCCCCCCTTTCTTGTCCTAAATTTAGACGCGGGACTCTGTATTACGAAAGCAGCTCCGGCCCTGCCGCAGCGAGAAGGCCCGGTGAAGCGTGGCTGCGGCAGCCGGGGACGTACCCTGCTGCAGGCCCAGGCCTGGGGAATGGCTTTTTATTAAAAACTACGCCTCCACCTCAGAGGATCCCCCCCCAAGGGCCACTCGCACAAAGGAAACAACGGAGCCTACAACAAGGCAGAGAACGGGCCGTTAAATTTAACGTACATTTTTGAGGAAAAAGGATAGCCGTCCAGAAAATTAGGGAAACAACACAGGGGCAGGGTTAGAAGAGACGGTTCCAAGAACATCGCTTCTCTATCAGGATGTACTTTCCCACCAAACCACCCAGTTGTCTGGGCAACATGGAAGACCCCTCCAATTACACTCCTGTACCCTCCCCCCTGATTTTAGAGCCCAGATGATCGCCCTTTTGTAGTCCCCGATCAACTTCACCCAGTAAACCATGTGCTGCAAGTAACATCTCACTTGAGCCAAGGCCGTAGCACGGCAAGCGGAGCAGGAATTAAAGTACAGGGCTTTGTTGGCAGTTTGTTGTTACCTGTGAGCCAGCAGTTGAAGACTGCTGCTCTAGACTTTCCCCTCTCTCTGCACAGATTGATAAAAACCACAAGTTTGCAGAAATCCCTCAGGTCTCTGATGGGAGTAGTTTCCAAGTCAGACTTGTTCAGCTCTCCCCTAGAAAGCAAAGTAACACCCATTATATGCTCTGCCCCTCTCAGCACGCATGGGTGGGATTTACTGTTCTTACAGAACTGGAAGCAGTTGGTGGTTTGACAGTCGTGCCCTGCTTTTACATGATCCTAAGAAGTAAGACCTCTCCTAAGTACAAGACTGACACTGCCTCAAATTGCGTAGCTGTTTTCCTACTTAAAACCAAAAAAACCTCTCAGCACAACAGACAGAACTGCTTAAAATTCAGGAGAACCAAGTTATGTCAACACCATGTTTTTAAGAAGCCACAAACGGAAAAGCTCTTCATAGACAAGTATTTGTACTGGAAGTAAGCTGTACTTTTAAGCTTGTCTTAACTGTGGTTGGGGCCTTAACTGTTCCATTTCTATCTCCACAGATTTAACCATGGAAATTAATTCTATGGAGTAACAGTGACTATTTCCTCTTGATAAATGCAAGGGGGACATAATTTCTCCATCTCCCTTCCATTGTCTAGCTCAATTATTTAGGGATTGTTTTATGAGACCAAATAACAGCGAAAGGAGGAAGAACAACCCAGTCATTTGACGCATCAAGCCCTTCTGCAAGTCCTCTAGGACTTCTGTACTTGAGAGCTTGTCTATTTTTTCTACAGAAGTCCCTACCTTCCTATCAACTATATCTGGAGTATCAGTCCAACCATAGATGCATTGTTTACCAAAAGTTTTCTCCTTAAAAGGAGCTCATGAGGAACTTGTGCAAACAACTATAAATCCTGGTGAGGGGGACAACCACAATACAAGCACGTATCACAACCATCAGTAAATGCAGATAATTTTGAGGGATATCAAGGCAACTGCGGATTCCTACAGGGAGGCAGCAAGTCTTACAGTGTAAGGACTTGAGGCATCTTCAAACGCCTAAGAAATGCTTCCAAAGCTAAGTTAACCCTCATGAGTAGTTCATGCTATTGTAGCAACAGGGTGTTTGTAATTTCAATTTAACTGTTAACGTATGAACGGGAACAGACTCTGTCCTGGTAAGGTTAATGGAAACTTTGTGGTCACTTCAGATACTTCATCACCTTATTAATAATTAAGCTACAAAGGGTCTAGTAATGAAGTCTAAACCTGGAGGGAAACTGCCCAGGAAATTCTAACCAGTAACAAATTTACCTACCTTCCATGAAATTGACTTTCTGTGGAAGCTGAAGAAGTGAAATGAACAGTGAAAAATGCTTTCAGTTTGTCTTTCACAAGCAGAGAAAGGCTGGTTATTTTTAAATTCAGATATCCCTCTGGAAAAAACTACTTCAAATTCTTCCCTCTGGTAATAGGCTTATTCCATACTTAGTGACATCAATAGGATTGCTCACAGAGCATCACCTAAAAATGTTAACTCTTTACAGGATTAAGGAATCAAGGGTTTGTGAATTTTAAAAATTCTAGTAGAGAAAGGAAGGAAAAAAAGAGTAAATTCTACTAATTCAGAAATTCTATTAGCTCCCAATATAGCTTATAAACGCCCTATCAAATTGAAACTAGTTCTGCCAGGGTTGGTACCAAAGCTTAAAGAACAAAAACAAAAATCCAGAAGAATTCCTGATTTTCCACCAGATTTAAGCAGAACAAAAATTTGTTCACTCTCTTGCTTTCTCTCTTGCAAAGTCCCAAAATCCTCAAAAGGGTTTTGAGTTCCCTCATTCTCAAAAGATACCAGCAGTCTACACATTTGACTAACATTTTTTAAAGTGAGCTAGTGTACTGTAAGTACAGAGGAATACTAATTTAAGAAAGCAACTCTCAGAAAATGTTTCGAAGTAGCAGCACAAGTGTCCTAGTTCTCAAAAATAGAAACAGCACTGTATGACAGTTTTGACTCCTATAAAGAGACTACAGCTTTTGCTGCTCATCGTCTCCATAAAAAAAGCCATGCCAGTTTTTAGTTACTCAACTGTTTCCTATTTTAGCTTAGGGGTAACGTGATATGTTCTTTTCAGTAAGACATAATAGAAATCAGTTATTTTTGCAGTTTTGCCTCATAATGAGGTATACACGCATTCTACCCTCTTTGCACTATGCTCCTCCATCACACTGATGTCAAATATGACCTCAAGTACCAGTCATCAGCTAGGTTCTAATGAGAACAAACGTGAAGGTTTGAATCCAGTGATCAACCCATCATATTTCTGCAAGAAAATACTAGCCTGAAAACTTGATCTTACAAAAGACAGCCCTACTCACTACTAGGCTGTTTCTTAATGCTTTGCATGATCCTTCCAAGTCCAAACACCACCTCCGCTGTATATGCTCCTTGAAGTCAAAGATGTCCGCAAACACTTGTTTACGCTCAAGAACTCAACACCTGCTCAAATCATGAGAAGCTCATTGTTCAGTTCAACAGCAGGGAAGACTGAAGCTGGGCTCAAATGCTGTAGTGTTTGTCTCAGCTGCCAAAGCAAATGACACTAATGAATAGGAGAGCATAGTATGGCCAAAGCAAAACACAAATCTACCCATCTGAGTTCTAAAATATTTTATCCTGCACTATTAGTAACTATTCATATACAATACTGTAATCGCAAGGTACTGCTGCAATACAAGTGGTAAAGAGACTACTAAAATTAAAAGCATATTCTAATACTTATGAAAGGACTAATCTCAAGTATGCAGGATATTTAATTTACAACTGAAAGGTAAGAACTTTATCATGACTACTGTTGAAGACTACCTCTTTGATACTGTGTCTTTGAAGGGGAAGGCAGATACCGTATCTACATGAAACGTGAGAACTGTTTCAACAGGCTGCATTAAGCTGGTAGACCCTTATTTCCTTCAGTAAGAAGAAGGAATCAAGTAATGACATAAAGAAACTATTTACATAGGCTGTGGATTCTTTTGGCGTTAACTTCAGTGACATGTCCATGAGATAATGTAGTAACTCATTCCCATCAGAAGCACTGCTCTACAAGGACATGAAATCAAGAGGGACATATCCCTGAATATCATATTGTAAAGCAGAATCCAGAACTGCATTTATAGTCTCTAGTGTTCGGGATCTATCTTACTCTCTCTTCCACTCTCCAAACCCCTAGCACTGAAGTATAAGGAAAACTTACTACTATGGGGCCTTTTTGTGTTACAAGGCGGAGGTCAGGATACATGACCAAATTACTGCATCTCATGGAATTTTCACAGGGCAGCCAGGCCACAATCATTGACTGTCCTTATGCTCTTCGTCCTTCACAAAAGCAAGGTCTAAAAGCCAAGTCATGACAGATCTGTTTACACACACTAGCATAAACATATCCCAAATGCATAAGGTGCACACAGTACTGTAATTAAATTTTTACTAAAGCTTCCCATAATCATATTCCAGCAATATTGCCAGCATAAGTGACTTTTCAAAGAGATTCTGGTGTGCATATTTCATAGCATCAACAGAGAAACGTACTACAAGATTGTCCTACTTAAACACTCCAGGATGTTCACACAGCAATGAATGCTGCACCTTGAATAAACCAGAAGAGCTCTCAAAGTTATTTGGGCATTAGGCTATTACAGTGCTAAAAAGTGACATGACTCCAGTGGTAAGACAACAGAGTTTCAAATTTCCAAACCAGTTCCTCTGTTTTAATACAGTTTTAATGAACATCAGTCCAAGAGATCACTTGATACTATGAGGTACATTCCTTGACCGCATATGGCTGTGCTTAAGGAAAAGGACAAACATATACTTAAATTAAATAGTGTAATTTAATTTAGTAGCAGTTTAATTATCATTAAGTTAAAAAAAGTTATAACTACTAACGTTAATGACTTGAGACCTTTCAGAAAGCATGAATCCAAAAGGAAATATCCAGCAGGTGGTCACAGACTTGTAGTTTTTCCACCAGCACTGCCACCTGCATCAGTCTCTTAAAGGACTATTTGTTCAACGAAGAACTTGGTCTACAGTCTGTAACAGGAGTCTTGGCTCTGCTACTTTGCATGGTCTTCTAACAGATATACGATTAACTCATAGGTGGACAACACAATGGCTGTGTTTGGTATCTGCCGGATGAGTTGGGCAAAGAGTCCTCTATAGAAGGCGAGATAGCCTTCTTCACGTGCTACCAGACGTGCCGTCTGAATGAAAGTCTTATATTTAGTGCCTTCTTCTCGCAGCCGAGTCCGTATGACCTCTGCAGAGAAGTAAAACAGAGCCCAAAGTTAACAAGACTTAAACCTTCCCATTGAGAAACGTGCCATTACCAGGAAAGAGCATGCAAAACCCAGGGACATGAAAACCTTCCTGTACCAATTGCCCACCAGTATTTTCAGCCATGGAACGCTGTACACATTGCCCTTCAGGCAAGAAGCAAAGTTAAAGCTGAGTTCCCTTCTGTGTGGAATAAATGGATTATTTGCTCATTCAAGCTACTACAGAACTAAATGCTTCACTGATGCTCACATAATCAATATTGCTCTTTCTATATAACCATGATAACATTCACGTCTATCCAAAAAGAATAACACTGCTCAGCCCCCAAGTGTTCCCCATCACTTGATCACAGAATCCCAAAGGCTGTGGGTACTCAGCTACTAGTGAGAACAGAAGCATTACGCATTCCATTTCTTTTTGGCATTTTTTTGAGTTGTTTATAAAAACTAGGAAGTCCCAATCACCATCTATGTGGCTAACTAGGAATGGTGGGATGAGTACTGAAAATGCCAATGCATGTGCAGAAGTCACCGTAACACGCATTTGGCCATTCAAACGACTAAGAATTTTACAACTCTAAGCCCCATCGTTCATCTTGGATTACAGGCAACAGCTGTTCTACTGCAGTCATAAATGGAAAAGTTAACATACCATGCGGATAAGCAATACAGGAGGCACAGCCCTTGGAAACAGCAGCAGCAAACATCAGTCCAAAGAAGTTTGTCGAGTTCCTTTCAGTCCCATTAGGAGAAGAAGGGGGCAGTTGGACTTCCTTTAAGTGCTTTTTTAAACTTTCATAAATAGCAAAGCAGATAATGGTCTCAGAAATCCCAGCATAGGAGGCAGTCAGGCCCCTATAAAAGCCACGGATACCTTCTGTCTTGTAAACATATCTAGCACACTGCAAAGCATTCATTGGTTTTGAACCCCTGACTCTACAAAACAAACAGAACAGAGCATATAATGAGCCCAGAAAAAGAATTAGTAAAAAACCACTCATGGCTTTCAATAGTTTTTGTAACTACAGAAATGGTTCTCTGCTACGTTTTACTCCAAAAATATTCTAGGAAAACTGCATAGAGCAGGACTGTCTTACTAAGAGTGCACACCTGGCTTTGCTAATCCACTAATACATACTCATAATAATTCTTTCAGCTCAAGTTCTATCCAGTCTATCACAGTTCACACCAATGCTTTAAAAGACAATAAACATCGAAGAGACACTGCTTTGTGTTAAACTAGTAATTCCATTTAAAGGCATCTTCAGCAGGCCAAGAGACAGGTCTGCTACATGAGAAATGATCCTTCATTTTAAGAGGCAGCACTCAGTTCAAAGGTGCCACCCTGTGAAGTGCTGGAATTAAGTCTTATAAATTATTTATCAGTTGTGGTGCCTTAAAGGATCCTTCTTATCTGACCTAACATGTCCTTGCAGGAAGGAATTTCCATTCTAAGCAGTCACATTATTAGCAGAGTCCCTCATTGCTTCGATATCCACCAGTGACTGTGAATCACTCAACTCAAAGATATTACTGTCAAATTCCCTCTCTGTCTTCAGGACGTATGGTTAACAGTCATACAATGCTGAAGGAAGCAAAAGAACATTAAACCATTGCAACAGATTCTTATTGCCTCTAGAATGTTTTATGAAACTAAACTAATGTGGCTTCATTACAATTTAAATACATCACCCTTTCTGTTTACAGCTGCCTAGCTGTCCATCAGTAACCTTGGTTTGTTGCAGTAACACACACATCTGTATGATCCAGGATCAGTACAAGTGATGTTGCCAAATGGAACACAGACTGCAACCTCGTGCTCAGCCTCCCGCGAGCTCTTCTGACCCTTCCATAGCCTCTATTATTGCTGTATCAAAGCATTTCAGTCCTTGATATATTTATCCTCAACATCAACCTCTGAAGTACAGAAGATTCTGTAAGCAGGAATCTGAGAGAAAAATAACGCTATGCCCAACTTTACTTAAGATTTACAGTGAAATCAGAAACTGAACCTAACTCAGCACTCAAGGCAACTTCCCCATCCTTCTCGATAGTAACTGTGCATCAAACTGAAGTAGGACACACAGAACCTTAGCCTTTAGTCTGACCAGGCAGAAGCATTATGGCTTGAAAGGTGAAACTGAGAGTCAGGGAAACAACCAGGCGAGATCAAAGTACAAAGAGCCATGAGTAAAAACATGAAAGTTCAGTTTTCCAGAAGCTCCCTTTGCCACTCAGTGGCATCCCATCTCCCTCAATCAGTTACTTACTTCCGTTCCAGTTGCATTCTGGTTTTCACCATCCATATAGGATTCATCAGGGAATTTGTGATAAAGGCTGAAAAAGAGAAAAGAAAACCATAAGTCTGAACTTTATACACTGTGCAGTGAGACAGTTCTAGTTACCAGTTCTATCTAGAGGTTTCAAAAGATGTGCAGGTGCGTAGCTTACAATCGCTCTCTTGCTAGAGAACCACCTCGTGTTAAACGTCAGGAGGCATCAACCAATGGCCTTGGAAATTCTTAAAGGATTCTTCCTTTTTGCACCTATTCTAATATGTACTTCATGTTCCTGAAGATTGCTGTAGACTAGATACCTTACTTACTGACTGGGCTTAAGAATAATGGATAAAAGGAAACCTGTGGGGAAAACACACATGTACTAGTCTTTTGTTTTCCCCAAGGCTCTAGGTGGTGCCAGTGAGCCATTTCATTAACAGAATCCACCCATAATTAAGGGGTTAGTTTGGGAAAGATTTATTTTTAGTGATCACTCTGGTGACTGATGTTTGAATTAGTGGAGCTCTTCTGCAGTATTTTTCCTACAAGAACAAACTATTTTCTCCATCCTGGTAGGAAAAACACAACATCCTAAAACAATTTGGCTAAAACAGTATCAAAAGTTCGCTGGTATCCACTAATATTTTTTTTCTAACATTCAGAGAGACATTATCATAGCATTGCAGTTCGAAAGAAGCTCAGCCCAAGTTAGTAAACAACAATCTAGAAATATTTCAAAGTCTCGAACAGGAAAACAGTTCCTCTGTAGGCAAGGTAACTTAGGAGCTAGAAACCCCCTGTTTTCTGGCATATACAGCCTCAAACTAAGTGTACATTTTCAGAATGTGCCACATACTGGCCTCTGTACTCGTTCATATACCACAGTCATCCAGAGCTGTCAGCCAAGACTGGTGTGTTAGCCTAGGTCCTGTACAGACAGACTTAAAGTCCATTCCCTGCCTTATGATTGATTCTATTCACTTCGTAACTATTGAGAGGGATAGAAGAAGTCTTGTGACAACAGCTCAGAATAAATACTTTAAAGAATTAAGGTGCATCTCAGAGCCACACAGATACCAATGCATGTACTGCCCACTATTGGTGAGGGGCTGGACACTGGGGTATTGCTGCAGACCTTACAGAAGATGAATTACGAATACATACCTGCAGAACCTGCAGAACAGATGTGCACAATGTTGCTGTTGGGCACAAAAATCCCATTAAATCGCTCTTTGGCTTTGGAGTAGCATGCAAAATAGACAGCTCTGGGGGTGGGGGTGAGAAAAAAAAAAAAAAGAGAAGCAAAACAATGTAATACACGCAACATCAAATTACACACATTACTGTTCTTCCCCCCATCCCCTGAAAAACAAGACCTTCTATCCAAACAGGCCTCGACGTGACTACTTCCATCTACAAGGACACAGGGTTTGGGGTTCTTCTCCCTCCTTACACTACAGTGCCACTATCTGACTCAACACCCACAAGGTAGAAATATTTTACTTTCACACCAAGTCCGACATGGAAGGCAACATGGTCTTGCAGACAACGCAAGTCAGATTGGATACCTGCACCAGCTCTGGCATTAAACGCACTTTGTAAACCTGGGAATGTCACTCTCCCACCTGGAGCCTATGGTTTCCATAAATTTGTTCAGCACTGTAACTGCATTAGCAGCACTTCATGCTTTAAACACTTAACCCTGGACTGAAATGAAAGAGTTTTTACACACCTCAAATCCCTACATAATGCACAGAGATAGAGGAAGCTCAGCTGATCTGCAACAGTCAATATGATGAGTAAGAAGCTGTCTGAACCGAGTATGTTCAGATCGTAGCTCCTTGAAGTGAACTGCTAGAAAAAGGTGGATATTGGTGGTTACAATTTGAGCATTTCCATAAAGTACCTTATTCCAATTTTATGGAAGAATATGAAGGAACACAAAAGACAGCACGAGTGAGTTGCATGAAAATGCAGGCAGTCTTGGATTCAGATCCCTGCTGCAAAGACTACCTGTACAGAAATAGGATTCCCTCCTTCTGGGGAGAACATCCTACCTACTCGGCAAGAGGCCAGAGAGGGAGTACACCACTTTGCAAGTTCCTTTTTAACTGGTTCAATTTCAGGCAGAGAACATATGCCAGTTTCCCAACTGCTAACAAGTTTTAACATTTGCTAGGCACAAAGATCTTCAGCTCTGCCAAGAATGGGACAATCATAGGTACATGTGGAAACGATTTAAGTGCCTGTAAGACTTCCAAATACAAAGGGACACACACAGACCTTCAGGGTTATATGGCAGCAATGCAAGCCTTTCCCTCTCAGCTGCAGTTTTTCATTTGAGAAGAATTTAGGCAATCAAGGACCAGATACGTATTCCTCTCCCCTGGCATCTAGCTCCTACTCAGTGTTTGGCAAGCACTTTTATGTATCTGCAGGGAAGCAGCAGATCATATTAGAAAAATGCAAATATTAATCCTACAGACTTTTCTGCACTACTTTCTTGTTCTCTCAAGCACATGGTAAGTGGCTCTTGCAATGACTTGGAATTTAAGTGCCTTATTTAATCTGCACCTTCCAGTGTTATACAAGTGGAAAGCAGATTTTTAGAAGTATTTCTTGGTATGTTTACTGTGCAGTATACATGCCCAAATCTCAGTTTACAGATGAGATAACTTCATGACCTATTCTTTTGAATCACAAATGCACTGCAACATTTGGGTTGGTACCTTAAATGTGTCTTTTAGCAATAGTTTAACTATTTACCTTGATGGTGCAACTCCAACCAAGTTTGGACCCAACCCTCGGAAGAGTGACCTTGGTCCTTCTTTTTCCAGAATTGACCTTAAAACAAAATAAATAAAAAAAACCAACAGGGAAAAAAAAAAAAGATAGTATTTGGGTTAAAAGTTACGCTTCTTGTTCCGTCAGGCAGTCAATCAAAAGAACTGTACAAAAGCAATGAGTGTTAATTGCGAAGCTGTTAGCTTTTAAGCTACGTAATATACTTGAAAATTAGCACAATTATACACTACTGAATAAAAGCCATTACACCATAAAACTTCAGTGCACTACAGGCAAATGTGTGTCACATGGCACAAAGTTATAATTTCCATTCTTTGAAAGCTGTCAGGAACTAAATTAAAGTTTCATGGAGAATCTAGTGATAGTTGACTCTGATGAACAAAAAATATTTTTGGCATTGTCTGTATCTAAGCAATCCAGAAGTTTGCTTCCTGTATAGAGATACAAAAAAAAAAGAAATCTTTTTCCCTTTTGCAATTACCTAGTGATGTGTTTTTACCCCAGAGTGAAAGTTAAATGTGGCAACCATACTACAAACTATGTCTTCCCAGGTAGTTCAGGGACATCTGCTTCTGAGGGCATTCAAGAGAGTTCACATCACCTTTCCCAAGTACACTCCAGCTGCAGAGGTACTGCTGTGAATCTCTGTCAGGACTGGACTTCATGATCAGGTCTAAAGCAAGATCACCAAATGATGCTTTCCTGCAGTTCTGCAATTGCTACAAGCCCAGGTTTCCAAAGCCACTTCCCCCCATCTTCCCTCACACCGTAGAAGGCATGCTGGGCTAGGACTTCTCTGAAGAAGACAAACTGTTTGCACAGCTTCCCCAGCAGCTACCAAGTTCTGTACAATACCTTGCTAAAGTGCCTCATTAAAAAAGACTTGTCTTACAAATTCCTTGCACTACTAACAGCGGACATATTTACAAGGACTAAAACAACAGCCAAACGCTAGTTAACAGCCAAGTATTTACCAGTGGAAGCCAAGTACAGTCCAGTAATCACTGGGATTTCAGTGCACAACCTGCTAGACAGTAGCCCTCTTAACTGAACTCACCATGTGAAAATCATGGAAGAAAATCCAGGTAACCCCAGGATCCATGGGTAGTTCACATGCACCTGTTGGAACTGCCAATTTTTCAGAATTTGCTTTCTAGGTCATTAGCACTGTTGAGAATGTTCCCCACAGATTCCAAACCCAAGCTCATTAGACAGAAGAAGATGTAGGAGCTTCTGAAACACTTTTTCTGCAGCAGAGTTGAACTTTCTGTGTAAACTCCAGGGCTGAGTGTCTCCAAGGAGACAGATCCACCAACTACTTGTTCTTTGTCACTTAACAGTCACGACTGCAGATTCCAGCTGGGGTGACTCATCAGAATCTTAAATGGATTAGACAAAAACAGCCTGTCCTTCTGGAGTGCTTTCTATTCAGCAGCAGACTTAACCTGCCCTCCTGAATACCTACTTTCTTTCTATTTACAGCAGTTAAGGGGCTTTCATACTCAATACCTTTAACTCTTGCAGAGCAATTTTATATGTAGAGCTCTAATGGCTGCTTCTTTAATCATACAATTTTCCCAAACCAGAAGGCCCAAGTCATATCCAGTCGGGCAATGCATGCATGACCAGGATTGAGAAAGGGACGGAAGAGTAAAAGCAAGAGACCTAACTTCACTTCTTTCTTCACACATTTTTATTTTATCAGAAAGATAATAATCAATAGCATTATCTGTTCTTCATAGATGCTGCCTGCAAGGGAATGACAGCATAAATATTTTGCTCTCACTTCTCACTCCTCCGAAGTAAACAGATTGAAAACTTGGTGATACATGCAGCTGAGCAATTCCTGAAGTGAAATGAAATCACAACCATAGTCACCAAATTTAATGAGCTTAATAAGTATATTAAAAGGTTGACCCAATTTTAAACCATTTCCTCTCTCCCTAAAAAAAACAAAAAGACAATCCCAGAAAAAGATGGGCCAAGGGGATGAACTAAGAGCCTTGTGCCTTGAAGTTTTCACTTCCTTTAGTTACAGCTGCCTCAAGTCCAATGCTGCAAGGTGAAGAAGATAGCAAGGGAAAGGAGATGAAAATCAAAGGCAACTACCTTACACTTTCAGTCACGAATTGCTCTAGACTCACCTCTGAATAGACAAAGAAATGTTTGGCAGGGGAAAGAAGCACTGTTTACAATACAGAAACTCAAGTCCCAGAATGACTCTAGCCAGATAGTTCTGCAGAGAATTTGAATTAGCACTGTACTGTTATATAACCGTGCAGCTTCTCCCCAGGCAATCTGCCAAGCGTGTTGGCCTTACATAAAATCATTCAACTTGCTTTGCTAGTCATTATTTTCTTTGGCATTTCTGCTACCTGATCTAAACAGAACCTCTCTGCATCACCCTGGGCTGCCCAATGATCCAAATAAACTCAATCCATTTGCATGAGGTCTGAACCATAAGTTTATGGTGCTTTGATATGAAATACAGAAGTAGAGATTTGGGCTTCAGAGTTGCAGGTAGAACTATTCAGCAGTTGTAAGCTAGATGATTTCACATTTCCTCTTATTTATAAATACACATCTGAAAAGGAACAGCTGGAGCATCAGCTGCTGCAGTCTGAACCACACAGAAGGCTTTTAACAGAGATCATAAGTAATACAGGTGTAGATAGGATTGACACATAATAATAATGGGCAAAGACAACATCTAATAGCAAACAGGGGAGAGCTCATTAAGTCAGCTATAGCTGAGGAAAAGAGAAAAGCTTCCAAGACCCCAGTTAGATATTGTATTTTAGTGAGACTGCTTTTGCAAAAAGTGTCCTTCCTCCACTCCCATAAATTTCAGTTATAGATCATCCGCAAAAAAGTGCAGACAAGCATAACTGAAAATATATGAGAACATAGAATTCTGGAAGTCATCTGGTTCAAACTCATGCTCAAAGCAGGGCCAGCTTCAAAGACACATCAGGGGCAGACATGCATCACTAAGTACAGAGAATCAGAAACCTTGTTACAATGCTGGTCCACTATGGTGACGGAAAGGCTACAGGCTCTCACTTTTTTATGATGCTCCAAAGAGAGAGTGCTTCAAGAGAGGAATTAAAACTTCCCTCCATCAAACAGGTAAACAGCACAGGCAGCAATAGCAACAAGTATCTCTGCTAGCTACTCAAAGCAAACTGGGAATGGCTCCAGGAAAAAGACAACTTATATGGCTTATTCAGTCCTTCAATCACTTGCCAAGAATTGGCCCCAGCTAGTAAGGATTACCTGTTCCAATGCTCAACAGAGACAGTAAACATAATTATTCCCAATAGGAGAAAAAGACAACACTTCTCAGTGTTGAAAAAGAGAAAAAGCCCTTTCCTCCAGAATATTTTCTGTGATAGTTCCCACAAGCTAAGGCATATCAAGAGTTTACAGTATGTCCTGTGTATTGATCCCTAGAAGTCATAACTACAAAAAAGCCTAAATGTGAAGAGACAATTTAAAAATAACACTTCCAGACACATATTCAAATGATTTCATTTTGGAAAGTTTCTAAGTGGCGGAAACAAATTTCTGTGGAAGTTCAAAAGAATGCTCAGGAGTCGTGAGTATGTATGTATTTTTAAAAGAATAATTTATCTTTCTACTGCTGAAGGCAGAAGCCCAACTGACAAGAATCCTTCCAGTGCAAGTCTGGAGCAAAATTTGCATTCTGTGTTGGCACAGAGGAATTGAAACTCACATCACTGGTGTCAAACAACACTGAATGACAGGAGGAGCAGTACTCACTTGAGAACACTAAAGAGCCCAGGTGATACAGATGTTGGCCTGACCATTCCTTCACCACTGATGGTCCCCAGCTGGACTTGTGGGTAGTAGACAGCCCGGAAGGCTAGCTTTGAAGATTGAAGCCTAGTCTTTATTACCTCTAAGGGACACGTAAAGATGGCACCAACTGTTCCTCCGCATCTGTAAAATACAATTTAAACAGAAGACAGAGTCAGTAAACCATAGCTGCACAGATGTGTCATATCACAGCACGGCATATAAATAAAATCTGAAGACTTGTCTCCAGTTGCTCCGCATTGTGGACAAATTATTAGGAAGCAGGGCTGTTTTGACATTAGGCAAAGGATACTGTTCCCAAGCCCTGGGGGAGGGAAGCAAAGGTTGAGAAACTGTTACAAGGATCACGTGTAGCGATTAAATTGGTAAACACAAAGATGATACCCAGCACTAACAAAAAACCCCTGACTGACCATCTGCTGGTCCCATGTTCTGCCAGGACTTGGAATTCTGCCTGTGAAAACTTCAGAGGCATCCATGTTTCAGAGGTTGTTGTCCTAAAACAGACATAGCCTTGGATGGATTTTTCTTATGGGAAGACGGAAGCTGGCAGATGAGAACAAGCCACTGGGGATTAGGACACTATAGACTGAAAACATAACAATATAATTCTTCACCACTTCAGTACTTATGATTAGAACAGCTGTCTACAAAAGTAGCAAATATCAAAACTACACTAAGTTAGGCCCTTTTAAAAACAATGGATATCAACTTTTTTGGGGGGGGTGGGGAGAGGGAAGCCACAAGGATGAGAGGGAAGGTGGGAAAAACAGAATAACAGGACAGAAGGGCTACTGAAGAACAGAGTTCCCATACTCACATAACAGAAGTACAAAAATAAAATATACACACACACATATATGTGTGTGTATATACATAGATATATTGACACACACAGGTGTATATATATAATATACGTACAAAGAAGAAATAAGTGATGCTATAATAGGCATATATTCATCTTAATGTAGTCAGTCTGAGCCTCAGAAAAAGCACACAAGGCCAAGAATATAAGGTGTACAAGTCCTAATTTTCATTTTAGTCAGTGATTTGGAAAGTGACTAGTCAAACTACTTCTCTCTCTGCTGCTGTTCCTCTTTGGTAATTGAACATCCCTTCTGTCAAACTTCACAATTAAACACAATGCTGAGGTTGGCTAAAAGGTACTATAATCTAAATTTTATTAATCAAAAACGTTGGGATTTAGGAAGACTTAACTAAAGATTTTGGGTTTTTTCTAAGGATGTTTACTGCAACTGTACCTATTGATTAATAAATATTTTCTTTCTTTACACAACTGTCAAAGCATATGATTCCTTCAAAACCCCACGTTTGCTATTTTCCTTAGAAAACACCATGAGTCAACAACTTAACTTTCTTTGATGTTAATGTGAAATTGTCATTTAAGTAGTTTTCCATGAAAGGGAGGAATTAAAAAAAAAAACAACAACCCTATCCTTTTTCTTGTGCATAACTAAAGCATTGCTTCTAGAGTCGTAAGAAGCTTGCGTGCACTGATTTGGGAACAGAGATCCATAAAAGGACATTAATAAAGGTACTAGTGCATATTTTCTAAAGCCCCATCTATACATGAATTATTTTACTAGGAGAATCATTTTTAAACACAAGGAAAAGGGCAGTTAGAGAATGGCAGAGAAATCCAAGCTTTAGATACTTACTAGTTTATAAATGCTTTATCTGGTACAGCTTATTTTGCCTGCTGAAACAGTATGTCTTATATCACATGGTAACCATTCTTCGGCAAAACCCTGAAGCCGTTGCACCGGCATTAACAGCCTGGCCACCCTGGCTGTCCAACCGCAAAAATTAAGGTTCTTTATAAGGTTCAAAAGGACACCCCAGACCACACGGCTGGGGAATACAACTTCCTCGCTACACTTTTCATGTTCTGCAAGATTCTGAACAAGAACATGATCCCAAACACTACGCTTTTCAGATACAAACACATCCAACAGAAGAAACTGTGTTTTCACTGAGACTGGCAATATGATTTAACAGCATGCTTCAATGAGTTTCTCCTCTAAGTTCTTGCTTCTTCCTCTTCCCTGCTGAAAGGGCAATAAACCTAAACGAGGGACAATCCGTACATCCAAAGTGGCAGATACTATAAGAGCAAGCATTGCCTTCATCCCTTTTAAACCACTTATGCTATGACTGTTGAATAAAGTCACAAAGTTGTTCATGGAACTAGGTACATAGCAGATGAAGTTGTGTCCTTTGGCTCAAAAAGGACAGTGTTCACAGAGACCTTATCAGGCCTCTGATTATTTTGTGTAGGCCTCTGATTATTTTGTGTACTGAACAAGGGCTTGGACACAAGCCTTCTGTTGTGTCAATACTACTCTGTAGGACATCGCTTCAGTTTATCCTTCTCTGTTTTGTCAGATGCATCTCATGTTGCTCACATTTCTCCGAAATCAGATCTTGGGAAAAAAAGTCAGGTCAGGAATGGCTTCTCCAGCAAAAGCTTTCCTGTTCCCAGAGCTCACACTCATAACTCAGAGCAGGAAGTGTTCTGAGGATCCCTCTTGCAGATACCCCACTGCCACCTTTCCTACTGTGTATATCCAATACAGACATGAGTCTGTACAATTAACACCTGACTAATCAACATACTCAAGAGAAATTTTAAGTCTGTGGGAACTCAATGAAAAGAATTTGATTGCCTTAATTCCCAATTCATTTATCTACCAATGCTCCACTACTGCGTACTCCATTCTCAGTCCCCATTTATGAACACTGAAACAATACTTTCACAGTAACAATTCATCAAGTCAGAACACTGAAATTCCATTTGCTGTTTCTGAACTACCAGCTGCTCAGTCTAGAGTGACATCTTGCCATACAATTTTTTAGCCTCTCTGGCATATTCCCTCCTGCATCAGCTGTCTTCTTGCCTTCCTAGCCCACTCCTTGCCTTTCATCCTTTTAGTGTGATAATCCAGTTAATTTATGCAGCCTTTAATATTTAAGTACTTCTGGTAATGCATATGTAATCCTCTGATATTCAACACAATGAGTTAATATCTGCATCATCAGTTTTAACAGCTCAGAGTTTATGTTGTCAGTGTGACATTTAAGAAAAAAGCATTACCTAACAGAGCCATTCTCAGAATGTCAACAGGGTGCATATATTATGTCCCAAATATAAATACGCAGCAGATAGTTCAAGTAAGGACTTCACTGTACTGAGCAGCTTTTTCTGTTGAGCTGATTTTCCTCCACATGGGAATTCTATGCATCATACCCTGGTGTTGCTCTATTCCCTGGAAAGATGGCTGAAAAACAACACACTGTGCACAAAAGAAACACTTTGTATTCCTAGGGTGTTCCAAATGCCTACATCTGGGAAGAAAGGAGAAACAACCAGCTTTCCTCAGCTACGTAAACAGTCATAAACCCTGAAACAATCAGACCATGGATTTGCAGCCAGATAAATTCGATTGGGGAAAATCTTATGCTGCAATCAAGGGAAAACCTCCAAGCCTGCATACTGGTTTGAATCAGGGTTTTTCCTGATACGTCAGTGCAGAACTACAGTTCCAGAGATGTCAAGCAGTGTTTACTGCACTAGCCTCCTGCTAAAATCCCAAAATAACATCTAAATCTGTCCTCAGTCAAAAGGTAGAACCCACCCTAGAAACCAAACACTACAGTAGAAGTATCTTCAACAGGTCACATGGCAAGCATATAACAAGAGGTTCCCAGCTCTGCTCTGCATGTATCTCAGATATAAAACGTCTCCAATGTGAGACACCTGACAGTTCATCAGCTTTGGCCTGTCACTGCCAGAAAAACAGCACTTGTACTTCAGGCTTTGAATGCCCCCTCTAGTTACACGATGGGCCAGGCATATATGGCCATTACAGCAGTAAAACACAGTTCTCCGCTTTGTGATGTCCAAACAAAGGAACTAAGGAAACTCTTGGTTTGAGAATATGGAATATACTTTGTGTTTAGGGAAATACATAATGTATTATACATTAACAGCTGCAGAAAAATTATTTACTTCCATAAAAAGAAAACACTGTTTAAAACAACATGCCAAGGATGCAAATCTCAAAATCTAATTCCAATTTTTCTCTTGCTGCCCGCTTTCCATCTTTACAAAGTCCACCCCGATACACCAATGACTTGCATTTGAAATAAACTCTCAGTATCCACTAGCACAATTTATAGAGATGCCAAGAATCTTAATTAAGAGTAGGTCTTACTTCACCTGTCCTAGATTTAATCACTGAGCAATATTCTTAATACGAATAACAACACAATACTGAAAGTTAAAAAGAAAGTTCTGCAAAACAAAAACAAACAAAAAAGCATCCAAACCTTCAATGATCTTTCAGTTGAGTACCACTGACTTTACCAAGATCATAAGCAACGATGAAGAGGTGCTCGGTTAGAACAATCATAACTTATAACCCAGCCTGACACGTTTTGCCTTGTGAGCATTTGAAATTACCTTTTCCTCCCCAAATGACAGCAACTGCTCTCAACATTTAACATTGAATTTTTGACAGACAGGAGTCAAGTGAAACACTTGCAAGAGAAGTATTAGTGCAAATAATCTGGCAACAGGTTGACAAGTATACGTCAATTCACGCTTCACGGATGGCACCACTTACACCTTTAAAGGTCAAAGTACACCTTGGGAAATTATTTGGTACTATTGACTGGACCCCCTCTGATGGATTCAGAAGTTTGCAGAACTCTCCAAACACAGATGGAAGACTCTGTCCCACTGAATTCAGTGGCACAGCCAGGGATACAGTTAAACCATGGCACTAACTTTCCTGGTTGTTGACATAGAATCATGCCCATGAAGACAGATAAGGAAATCCCAAAGTGAGCAGTATATTCACAGCAAGTGTGCCCAGTTTTAAACAAGACTGTATTTGCAATAGGAATTTCATTGTTTTTCTAAAATGTGCCACATGCTCTAGCATGACATGCATAGCATAAACAGCAAAGCAGGTTATGTCTTTGGTATTTTGTTACTGCATCATCAAGACTGTAAACAAAACAAGCTGCTGCATTCTCAGATGCCACAGGAAATTAAGTACCAAAGCAATACAGACTGTCCCTAATGTCTTAATTCTGAGTTATTAAGCATTCAATAAATTTCTAGCTAATAATGTTATCATCAGGTGTTGATACTCCTGTAAGCACTTACTGTGTTCCTTGAGCTGATGCACTGTTAGTGCATTACAACATGCACATGAGAACCTAAACTAGGCAGAGGGCTGGAAAACAGTCAATCTCATCATCAGCTCTAGCTGCCTTGGACCACACACAGTATAGCAGACAGGCATGCTTCAGGTGAAGACTGCTTCTCTCCATTTTACAAATGGAAACATTATTTCTCAAATGCTTTGTCAGCATTAGCACATGGCTTAACAATAAACATCTGTGGGAGCAGTATGGCAGTCCCTTTCCTCACAATTCGTTCAGATACGAATTTGGGGAGTAACTTTTTCATT